AAAATTTAAAATTTAAATTTAAAATTTAATTAAAATTAAAATTTAAAATAAAATTAAAACAGTTTAACTTAGAGAAAAGTAGTCTTTTCCCATACTTATGAAGCCATGAAGTCACTAATTGCTACATGGCATTTAGTTTTAAGCCTCAACCTGAAAGATGAAACATATTATGGGTGTAGAGGGAAGAGGCAACAGTGTCTGAAATGTATGACAAAAGAAGAATAGTTTAAGGAGGATCTATGAATAGTTTGCATAGTAAATAGAAGATTAAAGGAAGAAAAAGGCAAATGCTCACTGCAATTAGAGCTGCTGAATAATAAAAGGCAGATCCAGGCCACAGTGTTTTACTCAGAGGCTGGCTGGCTGAGTGTCAGGGGGAAGTTTATTGTAGAGTAGGAGACTGGATAATGCGACCTTCCTGTGTTTCTTCCTACTGAAGTAGAACACAGATTTAAATGCTGAGTAAAAGGATTTTGAATCACCGATACACTATCAAATATTGCTTTGATCTTAGGAAGGTCATTTATTCTTTTTGGGTCTAAATATGTTATGTAAAAATCATAGCTTGAGGTTTTAAAATCTATTTTAGTTGTGATAGTCTCTGATCATTTAAATGATAGGTTGAATCAAAGTTTAAGTCTACTCATGGTGAAGAATCATAATTTTAGATTTTTTAGAACTAGGAAGCTATTGGCTCCTGATAGCCTTTAGGTCTTGACTGTCCCTGATGACTTTTGTTGTTAAAGGCATGGCCCCCAGTCCATGGTACTCTCAGGAGGTAAGGAAACCTTTAAGAGGCAGACAGGTAGGCAGAAGTTAGATCACTGGTGCGTGTCCTTCAAGAGACATTACAACCCAGACCCCTCCCCTTTATTCATGACCAGTCTGGGGAAAACAGACTTCCTTTACCACTTTGTCCTGCCATGAGGCACTGTGTGGCTACAGGTACAAAGAAACAAGGCCAAGCTACCACCAACTGAAACCTCTGAAATCATGGGCCACCACAACCATTCAGCTTTTTATGTTGATTACCTCAGGTATGTTGTCATAGCCTACACATAAGTTATATTATACATACTATCATTTCTCCACAAAATCAGTAGTAAGTAAATTTAATCATTTACTTCAAATACTATGCATATGTGTGAAAATATTTGCTAGTACCCTTGTAATGTAACTCTCTCAAGCAGAATTCTTTCAAGAACATCCCGCTGAGATTTCATCTTCTGGGCATATAGTTTGCATACGCAATTAACCTTCTTTAATTAGATTAACTTGTCCTTTACCTGACGTTGTCAAATTAATACTGTAATCAAAAATCTCTCTGTCAGAGATCCAAGTGTGTCCCTGCTATGTGTAATGTTAATTACTTCTTTACTAAAAATAACCAAAAACAGACTCATATAGTAGGAAGCCTTGGTTAGCATACCTGGTTATGTCTCCAAAATAGCGCCATTCAGAACTTTATAAACAATTCTTAAAATCTAAAGAAATCTTGATGTTTCTGGCTGTTTTAATTGATGAGGTTCTAAGAATTGACCAACATTTCAGATTACTCATAATTATGTAAAAAAAAATAAAGGCACTGAAATGCCTATATAGATAGGCATTTAAAACATGTACAAAATAGCATGTAATCAAATGTTATTATTTATAACAAATTAAATTGCACTTGCCAAAAATAAGCAGAAGCCTCAGCTAGAGATCTCACTATATTATTCTTCTCACCCACTTACTTGCAAAGTTTGGATATTTTAACTGTATCTGACTGGCATTGATTTGACTCAATTATGAAAAGTGACACTGACACTTACATGATGAGGAAAGCTCATTTCACCAAATTGACTAAATGTGGCTAATGGCCCTACAGCAAAATATTGTGAACTCTTTACTATACAGTGGTGTACAGCATTAATAATATTTTAAATATCTTCCAATGTGCTCAATCAGTCATTCATTAAATGCCCATGATGTGAAAGTAGTCTTTTCAATTTTGTGAGAAATACAAAAATGACTAAGAAGGCATATACCTCTCTTTCAAAAGTTTATAGAGACAGGCAGAGAGGAAATGACAGGCAAATGGAAGCCTGATGTCTTGCCATCCAGTTAGATTGCTTTGATGCTCTCAATTCAAAGCAGTCAAGGTTCATCTGAAAAAAGAAGTGATGGACGTCTCTGAAGTTCCATCTAGATTTGAATTTTGATGTTACTACTGTTACTGTGACTAGGCAAGATAGTATTTAATTTCTCTAGTTCTCAAGTCCCTCATTTTAACATAGAAATAAATGAAGTTTATGTCTTAGACATTTGCATAAGTGTAATGCAGTATACATATAATATGTTTTACATACAGTGTGCAATAAACATAACATATATGAGCTAAAGGATACACCGAACAAGAGAGCTGTATTTTCTTTTGAAGGAGTAAAAAGTAAAATATTTTGTAATATGGTGCCCTTAGATTCCTCTATTTAAGAGTGATATACAGCATTCATGCACTTTGAAGGAAAAGAAGCAATTTGAAGAAGAATTCAGAAGAATTCTGAAGCATCAGGAGGTATATTGAGCTTGTGTTCTTAGACAAATGGAAGACAAGACAATTCAAGTGATACGAATCAAATATATTGCCCTAAATGAAGTATACTGAGGTTTCACCCAATTGTATTGTTTGACATATCTTATGCTATTTTTAGGGGCAATATGGGGAAGACAGGATAGGAAAGGGCTGGGTAGATTTGTCAAGTGATAGAAAATCACAGAAAGATGTTGGGGGTGTGTAAATATTAACTTACAAAGAACTCTTGGGCCTGATTCAGAGCTCTGTCTTTGGTAACTTGAAAGATCAGGATGGTTTGGGTTGAGATTCTTGCTCTGACTCATTAGCTGTGAGAGATTTTTATCTCCTTGTCCAATAGTTATTTTTTAAAATTTCTAATGGAATGATATGTAGATAATATGTAAAACCATTTACCTTATGCTTTGTAATACCAAGGATTCAACAGTTCTATCAAAAGTAACACTGCTTCTTGTAATTTAATTTTATTTGTGGGATAAGATAAAAGTGATAATGGTATTTTAGCTTTTTCTTCACTTGAAAGTACTGGTAGATGGAAAGGAATTTGATCAATGTAGTTATTCTATTTTAATACAGAGGCAACTCCATGATTCAGGTACCTACCTGATCTCCAGAAGTTGAGCTGCTAAAATGTATTGCTTATTTCCACTTTCAAATATGTATATAAGGTTCCAAGTTTCAGTGAAAACAATGTCTACAGATTGATTTTTTCACCTCCTGCTATGTAGCATAATTGTTCCAAAGCTCTTTTTTTATATATGAACTAATTTAATCTTCACAATAGACATAAAAGTCTGTATTACTGTCATTTGTATTTTGTGGATGACAAAATACAGGTGTAAACTTAAGTAGACTTAAGGTGATAAGTAGCAGAGAATTCAGGCAAGTGTTGGCCTAGAATCTGTACAATTTACCCCTCATAATTGTTCTGATTTATCCTGAAGAAGCAATGTCCTAAATAAAAATACATTTACAATGTTTAGTAGCATTCATTTGACAAATGAAACTAAAAAGCAAATAGAAACACCATTTGAATTCCTAGCTGTATGGGATAAGTACTTGGGACATGCAAACAACTACTTTTTAAATGAATTCTGGAACATAATGTACTCTGAAAGTGAGAACTGAATCTATGCAAACTACTGAAGCATAAAGCAGAATGATCAGTATCATAAGGCAGCCATGAACAAACACACATAGGAGTTCAGAAGAAGATAGCAATTTTGACTCAGAGTATCAAAGAAAGCTTTATGGAGAAAGAGAGCTGAATCTTAACATTTAAAAGTGATACAATGATCAGACAAAAGGAAAACAGGCTGAGTGTCTAAAATAAACCTATTACAATTTTCATCTCTTATTTAATTCCAATCTTATTTGACTTCAATAGCAGCTTGATTTTTGGAGGGCCTTTTGGGATTTTCTTTCTAGTAAGTATTTTCTTATTTATAAGACATGCCAACTAAAATATGAGATAAATGTGACACAGAAGGTAATAATCTCTTTAGGCTGGGAATCCAAAATTTTAGTAAACAAGAGTATTTTAACAAGCTAAAGACCTTAAACTTTATATTTATAAACACTGATTAAAATCATTTTAGTGTTTTAAAAGTCACTACAAGCTAACCAGATAATACTACTTAAATGGTCTATCAATAGATCAAATATCTGACAAATAGCATGGAAGTTATGTATTTTAAAGAATTATTTGTTTAAAGATTAGAAGCACACTATTAAACTGCAATGGATAAAGAAAATACACTTCAGTGAGCATAGGTGAAGTATTTATATTAGGTAAAGGATATATAAGGTATCAAATTTGTGTTCATACTAAAATATTTGCCACAGAACAATGAGAACCAAATGCATTACATGATAACCTGGTATTGCTTAACAGGTCAGACTTTTAAAAATTTGCTAATATATTTGCTAATCTGTTTTCTCTCTTCATTTCCTCATTAACAATGAATGCCCTGAGGCTTCCAGAAGAACCAACATAAAGTATGTAGGCGAGACCACTGCCCTGGGCTAATAATTTCAAAACAGCAGCAGCTAAACTCAGTCAACATTTAAATCTCTAGGCATATGCTTCTCCAATCCAAAATTTTAACCGATTGTTAGGTCTTTTCACACTCATTCCTAAAATTCTCTGGGAAAATAAATCTCTCATTGAAAGATCACTCCATAGTTTTATTATTTTGAGTATATTGCAATTTCATTTATAAAACAAAAGCTGTCGCAATAGTAAGAAATAAACCTTAGTGTATTTTACCAGAGGAATATTACATGAATAGAATAAAATATTTGAATGATCCATTCATCCACCAATCATCCCACCATGCACGAGTCCTTGCTTAGTGGCAGCTCTGTGTTACGTACTTTATTAGGTATCAGAGTTCAGCGAAAGAAAAAAGTGTTGTGAACTCACCTTGTGTCAGCCACTCAATGTGTCTGCAGACACAGTGCCTGGCCCCAAGAAGTTCAACACCTAGACAGAAATTAAACTTTTCATTATTTTGTTGTGAAAATTTGTTTTACCTTTTCTTCTTAATATTAACAAATAAAGTAAAAAAATGATAAAAAATACTTGAAATGCTACCTTATCTTCAACATATTACATTTTTGTCATCCCATTTTTTATGGAGGATTGAGATGCTGAAAAGCAAGAGGTTAGTGAGAATCTGGTATCAACTTTATAACATACACTGTTTAATTGAAATGATGAAATGCTGGAAACCAACTTGGGAATTCCTTTTGTCCACAAGCTATAAAGCAGTGAATAATGATATTTCTTAAAATGGGGAATTGATACCATCATGTTTCACATAAAGTGCCTAAATTGTTTTTTATTACATGTATTTCATCAGTCTGCTGAATGTCTTATTTTGTTGGTTTCTAAAATTATAATAATGTATTTCAAAATATTTATCCTTTGGTCCTTGTAGAAAGGATGCCTACTATATTGTTAAAGGGATCACTTAGATTTTACAACCAAGCTAAAGAAAGAAAACCTTTGTCTCTCCTACTCATGCTGAGATCAATCAGTGTGAAAGAATTCCCAATATTGTAACTACTCATTTTATGTAAAACAATCATATTAATTAAAAAATATTCCACTTCTGAAATATATAAAAGGTATGTTGCCTGAATTTATCAGTAGAATTACAGAGGCACCTTGGCATTTGTCATTTGGTTCTAGGACTGGCTACAAGTATCAGAAAATCACCACTGGTAGTTTTGGATGGAAAGGACAGCAAATTATGAGGAAATACATATTGATGAATTCTAGCTACAGGCTGGATATAAACAAATCACAAGTACTAGGATGAAATTTTCATGTCAAATTGAAATTATTTATTAAGTACCAAATTGGGTGAGTTTGAAAGCAGTTGAGTACTAAGATAAGACTATTTTACAAGTTCTAAAGTCCATCCTAGTGCTTCTTCTTGGTCTTGTATTTTCAGAATCACTTCTTTCTGCTTTGAATGATTCTCAGTTCATAATGTGTTTGATTTCAGTTCTGCTTCTGTTCCTAGGGAAGCTGTCATCTGTCACCGACAACTTTCCTTAGCATCCTGCCCTCTTTGAGTTTCAAGAGACGAATCTCTTGCATGCTCCAGCAGTTACTCACTTTCCTATCACATCCGCTCCTATTACTCTGGGCCACAGCAATTAGCTAGGTCTTTATCAGAACTCTTCCCCCTTCCTTCTGTGAAACACTTGGGTTACATTTTGTATTTAGATGTGTGTGAGTGGCTGCCTGCTTCACTGGGAAATAGAGTTTCAAAACCATTTCAAACATGATCCCATTCTGGATTAGCTCCTTGCAGATGTAGAGGAGAGGAGATCCAAAACCCAGAGACAGCACGGTCCTGATGCCAGTTTTCAGGACGCCCTCTCACTCCCACTACAATTGTCTGTTCCCACTGGAGTGTTACGGTGTTGGCAATATGAACCACTGTCTCAAATTGATGAGGAAGGTCAATTGGTACTAGAGGCTCATGAAAAATGAGAATGAAATTTCAGTTCCTTAAGTCATTAAAGTGTTGAGTATTTGGAGCTTTAGCCTAAGCATACTATAATTGTTGATTTGTTTGATCTCATCTATTAGACTGTAATCTATTATATTCCCATGGTGACTATTTTTGTCCTGCACCAGATTTGATCTGAGACCCTGACACCGTAAATGGCACATAATGACCACTTCTCTTTCTTTAATAACCAAAAATTTATATAGTAAAATGTGCCATGAAAATTTCATAGGAAATATTGTTCTAAATACAGTGATTCCCTTAGGGAAAATGCAAAGCTTCATTTAGCACAGGCATAAAAATACCTTTTGTTAAATGCCTTAGAGTAAATCTGATTTTGCTTAGGAGCTAAAAGAAAGTGGCAACAATGAAATAGTTACACGAATCAGTGTATGTAAGCTTCTATTTGGATTTATTTGTAAGGTAGTGAGAGTGTTGCACAGTCTTAGCCAAAAGAAAGGGCCTCCAAAGATCCTTGCTGAAGTTCTGATGATTGGAATGTCCTCCCAACCTTTACTGGGGATTTGATGCCAATGGAGAGAAAATGAAAGGTAATTTTCTTTCCTTTTCAAAACAATACCCAATCACAGAACCCAAGACCTTCTGCTCTTCACATATTACAATGAAATAGCTTTTGAAGTTTAGACAAAAATAGAGACATCTGACAAGCACTATCAAGTCCAGCCAGCATGCCTCCACATATTTATTACCGACACTGTTTCTCTCTCCATTTTGCTGTTACACTCAAAAATGATATCCACAGACTCCCCTTTGGCAACCACCTGTTTGAGGCCACTTCTAAAAAGTGTCTGTGTAAATCTCATCCATCTGTCTCCTCACTAGCATCCACTTGCTAGTTAAATTTAGTCTTGCTTAGTGTAACTCTGAGGAAGTGAGGCACACTTCCTCTACTTTCAACCCTAAGAAAAAGTAAAAAATTATAGCAGAGCGGTCAGATCTCCTTGCTTTGCTTCTAAGAAAAGAAGAGAAAGCTCTTTACATATGGGTACATCCTGGCATTTCAATGCATGGATACAATGCATTATGATCAGCTGTAGCGTGTCCGTGATTTCCAATCCATATCATTTCTCTGTTGAGTACATACAAAATCTTCTCTGCTAGTTGTTTTGAAATATCCAATTAATCATTCTCAAACATTCTACTTAGAACATTAAAAATTATTCTTCCTCGCATGCCCCTGAATTCACTGACCATCCCTTTTCCTTTCCCCTGTACCCTTCTGACCTGAGCTAGGAAATACTTAAGCTTTGTTTCATAACTTTTTTGGTTGAATGTTGAATGTCACCTTTAGGCTAGTTTTGATGATAAAAATTTACTTTCCATGAGGTTTATTTTTGCAGCTAACTTTATTCTTAAGCATTAAAACTCTTGATTATCAAAATAATGTATAATTTTGAAATGGGTTCTACATTAGTGCAGACAACTGTGACCCTTTAAAAAAGTAGCCTAAAACTGCATGTTAAAGTGAATTTATTAGGACAACTTCATTCTCTTTTACTTAGAATTATTTATATACATTTTCCTTTAGCCATTCTCATGTTTTTATATTTTCAAGTGTTTAAAATAAAAAAAAAAACACTTGCATTATATATAACATTATATAAGCAAACTTCCAGGACAAAAAGAAATACCTAAATATAGATATTTTATGAAACTGGCAAGTCCCTGTTCCATGTGCTGATTTCATTCTCTCTCTCCTTCCCTCCTTTTGTCCTTTCCAGTCCATCTCATTCCTTCCTGTCCCATGGTTGTTCTAATGCCACTCTTTATTTCTTTTCATCTCCTTTTGTGAAATAAATTACGTGATTTGGAGCACAATTACCTACACAATATTGCAACTAACTTATTTAATACTAATGCATATAAATCATGAAGTTTGAAGTCAGGGAAATATTCAGTAGTGATGAAGACTTCTGCAGGACAGAAGTGTATAGTGTTTATGGCAGGATATCTGACTGTGCAGGACTTCATGGAAGCCTGAGTCATATTTTCTCCAAAATGAAGAAATAACTTTTATTTTCTAAAAGTATAATTTCAGAAAAGAATATAAACAGTGAATTACACAAAAGCAAGCACTACCCAGGCCAAGATCTGGAATATTTCTACTACTACAAACCTTATGTTTCCTTTGGATCCTACTTGTCTTTCCTCAAAAGGCAAACAACACTATTTCAATTTGTAATCTTATAGTGGACAGTAGCTTTGAATTTTACGTAAATGTAATCATAAATGTTACTTAGTGTCTGTTACTTAATAGTATTGTGGCTTCATGTTATAATTTGTTAAACATGATCTGAATATACATTTTATCTTCTCTGTTGCCAATGGACATTTTATCATTTCCAGTTTAGAGCAATTGCAGCTAACATTTGAATAAACATTCTTACAGATGTATCTTGGCACACATATTGTATATAATAAGGAGCAGAATAGCGGTTCATCTGTGTATGCTCATGTTTGGCTTCAAAGGATAATGCAAGACTATTTTCGAAGTGGTTGTAGCAAATGTACTATCAGTCAATCAATCTATCATCTGTTTAGCTACCTATCTATTCTTGTTGCTCAGCATTATTACTTCTGTGTAAGTGTGTTTTGATAACCAGTATTCAAGTTCCCTTTAAGGTTTTTTTCCCCTCCTCCCCAACTTCTAGTACCTATTGTATTACATTTAGGTCAACTTACGTTAAGCATCTATGTATGAGAGAACCTATGCCATTTGTCTCCCTTAGTCTGACACATCTCATTTAACATAATGTTCTCCAGTTCCAAATGACAGGATTTCATTCATTTTACAGCTGAATATTATTTTAATACTTTTCAGAATTTTCTTTATCATTTCATCTATTGATAAACATCTAGCTCAATTCCATGTCTTAGCTATTGCAAATAGTACAACAGCAAATACAAGTGTCCTGGTGTCTGTTTGGCAAGTTTATATGATTTACTTTGGTTTATACCCAGAAGTGGGATATAGTAGGTCTAGTTTTTTTTTTTTTAAAGAAATCTCCAAACTGTTCTCCATAATGCTATACTAATTTATATTCTGACTAACAATATATAAGAATTTTCTTTCCTCACAATCTCCAAATTTGACTTTTTTTTCCTGGTAACCATTCTAAACAGAGGTGAGAAGACATCCCACTGTGGTTGTGATTGGCATTTTTTCATACATTTGCTGGAAGAGCAGATATTGACTTATACTATCCATTCCACAAATATTTACCCTATTATCATATGCTAGGCTTATAGGAAATGGGAAGAAGAAAAAGCAGATAAAAAGACTGTCTCTCTCTACTCTATCACCCAGGCCCTGTGGTGTTGGATACCCTTTGAGAGAAAATAACATTTCTCAACCCTCAGCCAGCCACGGTGGAGATGCGGTATTCCTAAGAAATGAAAATACAGTGTTCTATGTCACTAAGACCTTTCAGTTGCT